TGAATAAGCTGCTACTGGTAAACTCTAGAAAAATATCTTAAGATTCATATCCCTTACACTTAGCCCAATGTCTTGAACATAATAAATGCTTAATAAGTGTTTAATTGAATCTTCTGTATTTATTCCTCCCATCCCCCCACATGAGGTATGGAGATTAACTGGTCCTGTTAAGTGCTTCCAGCTCTTGGGAAGAAGTGTAATACTACTTAGTTACTAGTTAGTCTATATACTAGTTAGTCATATCATCAAGGAATTTTGACCACCTCTAGAGATTAGCAGAGAGGAAAACACTTGGATACAGCACCAACACTCAAGTCTGAACCCAAGTACATAGGCCTGCATATTTCAGAGGGGTAGTGACCTCTTAGGAATGATAGCATTGCCTAATTTGGAATTTAACCTCTGAATCCAGGGTTGGGATGCTGGTAAGGATCATAGCGTACGTAGATGAGTTTGATACTTTAAATTTCCACCTAAACCAGCTCTAAACTCACCGAATCCAGAGCTGGAATGTGGGCTCCATACAATAGGGTCATAGATTTAGAGCTGAAAGGGACATTAGAGGTCATTGAGTCCAAATCTCTTGTTTTATACATGAAGAAACTTAAGATAGTTATTGTGTCTGAGGTGAGATTCAAACCTAACCCAAGTTCAGTGCACTATGCATTCTTACAACATGCTATATGCTCCATGTGACAGATGTGGGAAATGGAGGTATACAGTATGAGTGGCCACCCTTAGCAATTATGAGCAGTAAGACAATCTTTGACTCTGGCTGTAACATTTTCCTGTAGTGATCCCATCCCATATAATTTAAGTTTGGGTTAGATTTCCAGTGGGTTTGCAGCAACACATAGAGAAGATGATGATTTGGGGCCCACTGCTTTCTGGGTAGAAGGTAATCTATCAGGAGAATCAATAACAGTGACTTTCCAAACCACAGAAAACAAGCAAAATCAGATTTTTAAAAAATTTAAATATTTTCATATGTTTACATCACACTGTATTGAAATATCCCCAACATTACCCACCCACCTTCCCCAGACAATACAGAATCTGTTTGGACCATCTTCCCGGGAAATCAAAAGAATATCAAATTCAAAGTCTGTGTAATAAATACTTATAGTTTACAAACAGTCATCACAATAGAAGACTCCGTATTGCCCCTAGTGCTCATGTACCAACCCTACCGTCCACTGACTAACAAGATGAAATTTAGAAGTATGAGTGTGAAGTGCTATTCTTGAGTTTTAAAAATCAGTTGCCTGGATCAGGGTGGGGAGGAGGGAAGGAGAGACATTACTAGAAAGTAGTTCATATGAAAATTATGTAGAGTTTTTAGTGGGCTACAATAAGAGTCAATGTGTGATGTGGCAATCAAAAAAATGATTTTAGACTACATTAACATAGTGTGTAGAATACGGGAGATGATAATTTTGCTATAATCTGCCCTGGTGAGAAAATAGAATCTAAAATATGTTCAGTCTAGGGTGCCATATTTGAGGAAGGACATGGACAAGCTGAAGCACATCTAGAGGAGGTCAGCCAGGCTGGTAAGGAAACTTAAAGTCCTGGGGATGTTCGGTTTGAAGATAAGACTTGGAACATGGACATTGTCTTCAACTCTTTGAAGAGTCTTCATGTCAGAGAGAAATCAGACTCATTCTTTTTGGCCCCAGAAGGTAGAACTAAGACCAACAAGTGGAGATTGCAGAGAAGCAAATTTTGGCCCAATATAAGAAAAAACTTTTTAATATCTTGAGCTTCTCAGAAATTAAATGGGCCATCTATGAGGTCGTGTGTTCCCTATCCTGAGAGGTCTAGGGGGCCACTTGCTGAAGGCTTTGTAGTGGAGAATTCATGTTTCAGGATAGTTGAACTAGGCAACATCTGAGGTCCCTTCCCACTCTAGGATTCAGTGATTGAGATGGCTTCAGCTTTCCATTGCTATCTGATCCTCCAAGGACTAGGACAAAAGGAAAAGTTGGAGGTAGTATGACGGATCCAGGAGGAGCTCCTCAGAAGGGGCAAGATGTTCCAGTGTTTACAGCTGTGTTGATTAAGTTACAAAGTTCAATCAGGGAAGTTTCACAAGCATCTTCTTCCCACACTTTTTCTGGAATGCCTGTTGGGAGTCCTAGGAAGCTGGGGCTCCCTTTCAGTAATATGCCTACTTCCAAGCTTGATACTCCTACTTTCTTTCCCCAGGGTCCAAAAAGGAACATCCCAAGTAGCCAAGGAGCCTATCTCAGAAATCTTGAGGAAGGAGAGGATGGCTAACAACCTTTACAGGGTGAGAACTTCTGTATTGTCAACTGTGATGCACTTGACATGTTCCCTTCTCCTCAGTTTCCTTCTTGGCCTGAACTTAAATGGTAGGAAGAGAGGCTAGGTTCCTTGCCTGTCCTTGAGGCTAAGCTAGTCAAAGATTAGGAAAGGGAGTAAATGGAAACTACAGAACTAGGGAATGAGGTGGGGTGCTAAATAGGGGAAATTGTGAGAGCAGGTCTGTTGCACTGGGGTTCATAATACCAGTTACCATCTTTTCAACCAACTTCATTTCCTTCTGCTTGTACCAACTCTAATGCACTCAGGAAGAGGTTGTGGGCTTCTTTTTTGTTGGGAGATTAGAAATTGTTTTCCCTTTTCCAAAGAGGGGAAGATCAGGATTATTAAGTTGTTTCCTTAAAAAATCTTCTTGATAGGAAGGACTTAGGGAGAAAGCTGGAAGATCCAGGAAGAAAAATCTGGGAGCTGTTTTAATTCAAATATCAGCCATATTTAGTCTTTAAAACCAGGTGTGCGAAGCCAAGAAGCACCTGAGCCTGAAACATGATGCTATAATTATTTAAATGGGGTTTGGGAGTAGGGGAAGGAGAAGTGAAATGGGCACCTCTCACTCCACGGGATGTCTGCTTTTTCCAGAGAAGACTCGTAGGTAAAGTCTACATTGCCCCAATAATCAGTGCCAGCTCAGGTTTCCAGAAAAAGAAGCAGTAATCTAGGGTACCATTTGTGAAAGAGAGCTGAAAGTGTATGTTCAAGAATGGTATTGATTAAAGGCACAATTATTCACTTTGCTTATTGCACCTCAGTTTAGCTCTGACAATGACTCACGTAGTTCAAGCAAAAACACTGGCCCTGACTGGTTTGTCAGTTACCTCTGGCCTGTCTGTTCCCTGGCCTCCTTGCGAAGGGTAGAAAATGGTATTAACATAGGCACAGACTCAGCAAAGAAATACTTTGGGATGGATGTCTCCTTTTCCTCCCACAGCCTACCCCTCCCCCGGTGGCCCTCAGAAGCTGCTGTATGCTCTCTGTTTCCTTGTTGTCCTTCCAGCTTTGCCCCAGGCTGCCAGGCACAGTTAGACTTGGCTACAAGTACAAGCATAGCCCACCTTCTGTTGCTGCCTCTTCTCCCCCTCCACTTAAGAAGCATAGTCTACCTCCTTTTTTTTCCAAGCCAGTTTTGTCCTGAGCTCATGTCTAGTTATCCCAGGAGCAAAATGCCCTTTGGCTTCCGGTATTCAATTTGGTCTGGGTAAGACTTACAGGGGGCCCAGAGGAAGTAATTCTTTTGGGCACAGCAGAGGCCTCCAGGTGAAGGCTAGTTCAGGGAAGCAAAAGGAATGAGTAGTATTGGTAATCAGTCCTTGGATCACACAAACAACTGGAGTGAGAGTCATAACAGTGGGAGTGACCTCAATGAGACCCTATTCCTAACGCCCAAGTACAATGAGCTTTTCCAGTAAACACTCTGCCTACCCAGAGTACCCATGGCTGAGAAGCAGCTTAGTCTGTTTCTCCCATTTGCTCCGGGCAGCTGAAACTGAGGCACAGGATACCACAGCTGGTTTCTCCATCGACTGAGTTGATTCCAATAAGACCAGGCGAAGATTCCTTCATAAACAGGTACTTCAGCTCAGACATTCAAGGTAGCAGGAAAATTAGAATTCTTTTCATTAAAAATGTCTTTTTGGCATTTCAGCAACACAAACTGAGGGGGAACTATGTTGGAATCTCAACATCAAGGGCTCCCTTCTTGGAAAGCGGGGACACATAACTCCCACTGCTGTCACCTGCCACGGGGAAAGAACCCAAGACTCATGGAAGGTAATAGCCAGCAAGCCAGCTGTAGGTGAGTTGGGGGGTGAGGGTGGGGGTAGCTAGAAGATTGAGGAAGAGGAAGATAGCAGGAAAAGATTTCCAGTCTTCATTTTCACTTTCTACATGGGAATTTATGGGCAAGTGCCTTAGGAATGAGATGAGGAGAGATTTGCAGCCTTCTTCTGCCCAGATCTCTCTCACACACACACACACACACACACAGATCACAACCCACTTAGAGCCCAAGAGGAGGACAATAAGGACTTGGTCTGGATCACTTCTTCATTAGTCCCCCTGGGGTCCTGGGAAGAGAATAACCTCACCTGTGTCCATGGGAGACAGAGTCCCAGTTCAGAGAGCACAGTTGCTGCTCCAGCCGAAAGATTCGGAATGCCATGTAGGATGATGATATAATCAGGAGGCAGATCCTAGGGTAACAAGAGAGCAAGCGATGTCTGGATCAACCCCCCCAAAGAAAAGAATCCCGTCTCTCTGATTTTTCCAGACTATTAAGGGCCTCGTGAACAGAAGACCAAAGCCTTTCTGCATCAGGAATAACTCGGATGAGGTCTCATTTCCTTCTAGTAGCAAGAGGGGAACAAGACCCCTAACACAATAAACTACAGCCACTTACCACACCTCAAGGAACCACGTACTTTTTTTTTCTTCTGCCTTGGGAAAGGATCCCAGCCAAGCATCTATAAGGGGTGTTGTCTTCTGTTACCACATTTATTAGGATTGGCTCCATTGGTCTCCAGACCCAGTGGGTATTGAATGGCTTTCTCTCCCTCAAGTCCCACATCCCTGAAGGCCAAATGAGTTATACTTCTTATGGTGATGCCCAGGAAGGCTTAAATGGTAAATATTGAAGTAAAAATACCCACAAAGCTGAGGAAGTTAGCCGTTTAAAGAAAAATAATCATGTAACCCATAGATGCTCTCATTGTGTATTTATCTTGGCTTCTCAACACCTTCAATCCCTACTTAGAGGCTGCCAGGCCTCTCAACCATCCTGCTGTAACCTAACTTTGGAACCCTAGAATTCAGTCTTAAGAGAAAGATTTTTTAGAAATAAGGAACTTAAACCTCAATACATTTATGTTCCACAAACCTACCCCTACAGGAACCAAATCTCTATGCTTCTCAAAACTAAAACAAAAATGATTCCATTCTGAAGCTACAGAGCAACTCAGATTGCTTCCTACCCTCCCTCAGCTCACATCCTAAGATCATGAACAGCATCTCTGGAATTCACAGTTCTCAGGACTCTTCTATAGTGCTGCTGCTAATAACAATAGTAACACATAGTGCTGCACAGCACTTTAAAATACTCTACACATAATCTCATATGATCCTTGTGCATTATTATCCCCATTTTACAGTTGAGGGAAGAGAGTACCAAGAGTTTAAGTGGTTTGACCAGGATTGCAAGGCCATCCAGTAGCAGACCCAGGGCTATAACCCAGATGTCAGTGATAAGAAGTTCTTCCCACTACATCATGCTAACTCCCTTCAAATAGTTTCGTGCTTTCAGAAGCTGCTCCTGACATATGTCTGTGGATGAGACAGAGTGAGGGGATTAAAGATCTCTAATGGACTTTGGTTAGACCAGATGGCCTCTGATACCCTTCCCTGCTCTTAAATGTGAGTAATACTGTGATTTCCTTGGGCCTGAGTTTTAAGTATATTAATGTAACCCATAAATGCTGTCCTAGAGGGCCTCAGGGTATTGAACACTGCCAGGATCAAGGGAGAAAGGAGAAATACTTAAGGAAGGGTAGAAATGAGAAGGCAATTAACCTATTTTCATACTAAAAAATTCCGCACATATAATAAGTCTTTTTTATCATAGGATCACAAATTTATAGTTGGAAAGGTCTTTGGGAGCCATTCTGAGGTCCAGAAAGGTTAAGAAATTTGCCCAAGGTCACACAAATAGTAAGAGGGAAAGCTGGGAACTGAACTCAGGTCCTCTGACTTGATTCCAGTACTGAACTAATGCTTAAATGTTTCCCAAGACCTGTGCTTTCATGAGTCCTAAAACTCCTTTACCCTGCAGGGAGGGTGCTAAAACTCATCTCATCTTTAGGATAATAAACATTCATTTAAACATTGGTACATTCCCATTCTAAATGAAACCAGAATATAAAAGAAAATTGCAGCTATGGAAGAATGACTATGAGGTTCTCACTAGAAAAAAGACAACTTCTTCATCCTTTAGTAAGAGGTTGTATGAGTTGCTATAGCCAAAAATATACATCACCCACTTGCCAACTTTCTGGTGCTTATCCCTTCCAAACTTAGATAGGCCAGTTCTCAAAGACAGAAGTTTGTGGAGTTGTTTTCAACATTTAACCCAGGACAACAAGAAACGTCATTTCATCAGACACATGTTCATCTCACCTGGCAGTGCTCATGATGGACACAAGCAAAAAGACCACCATGAGTGAATGAATGAAAAGGGCTTATGCACCAACATTTATTACAGAGGATGAAGAGGTAGAGAAAGTTCACAAAGAATTCCCAAAATCCTACATCCTAAGTCAATATATCCCTTAATATTTGGTAACATCAATGCAAAAGTGGACATTGAGAGGATGGGAAGATTCAAAATGCCATGTAGGATGATGGTACAACCAGGAGGCAGATCCTAAGGGAAATGTTGAAAATATGGTTCAGGATTAGGAAATAAAAGAAGGCAGAGGCTTATTGGCAATAGAAAAGTCTCATGCCTATAAATCCTGAATATTTTCTTCAAGAAGAAACCTTGAGTAACATCCCAAAAGATGAAATTTCATCTTTATGGACAGATTACTGATGTAGGAGTCATTCCTAAATCAGCTATCTTTCTTCAGTCAGACCATTGACTTGCCAGAACAAAGATCAAAATCAGGACCAAAACAGAAGAAATGATAATATATAGAAATATACATATATGTACATATAATAATATACATATACATGTATACACACATATGTAGACATATACATACATGTGTGTATATAAAAATAGTTCCTGTCTGACCTATTCAAGCAAACTACTAAAACAAAAAAATGGAAAATGGATAAAGAAAAAGACATTAACATCAGTTCCTACATATATAAAACAGTTGCTATAACAAGGCCAAAAAAGCCCAGAAAACATCTTAGCCCACAAACATTTTATGTCCTTGCCAAATGCAGAGAGAAAACAGGGAGGGGACAATAACAGTTTTGCAGAATCTTACAAGGGAAGAAAGTAGGAGATTATTATTTCATGAGATAGGGAAATGAGTGAAAGAAAAAAACAAATCCATGTAAGATCTAGTTAAGCCACATCATCCTAAGAGCATTTAAAGATGAAACTGGAAACTTCCCATATTTGTAGGAATAAGTGAATTTAAAAGCATTAAGCTCTTACTATGTGCTAAGAGCAGGAGATATGAATACAAAAACAATGACAGTTCCTGCTCTTGAGGAGTTTACATATATAAGAGGGTAAGAAAATATACATAAAGGAGTGTTGTGGTTAGGGAGAATCACTTTGGTCAGGAAAGTCACAGAGATGGAGAGTGGTACCATAGGATAGTGGATTGATATATGCCTTTCCTGGTTCAGGAACTAGAGTTGTAGAGTAAGGTATAAATCCAGTGGTAAAGCTGTTGTTGAGAATATGGCTAGGGAATAAGGAGTGAATTGAAGCAGTTCTGAGGCCTCCCTGAAATAATGGGCCAGGTAGGGCAGTCACTAATGAGACCAGTGGGACCTTCAGGCAGAAATTCCAGATATGAAATGGTTTTAGCATTTCTATAACTATTTTCTTCATCCATGACAGCAAAACATCTCAGTCTGTGACGTACAATTTGGAGAAGTGTAAATGGCCTTAAAGAAAATAGAAAAAAAAAGGGCAGTTGGATTAAACCAGACATGTAGATAAGTAGATTAGATAAAGCATTCACTAAGTACTTAGTATGTGCAAGGCACTGTGCTAAGCACTGGTGAAATGAATACAAGTAAGCAAGATAGTCCCCAAGGTGAAGAGTCTTACATTCTAATATGAGAGAAGTTGGTGCTAAAGGCAACATAATTCTGAGGATGTTGAGAAACCGATTCTCAAGATATCTGAAAAGGGAGAAGACAATGAATCGGAAAAAATCATGGAGGACATTACTACAGTTAAAAGGTCAAAAGGCTATCAATCCATATGCCTACTTTTGATCTCTACATGTATCTAAGATATCCTTGATGAAAAAATGAGAATGGAATGTGCGGGCTTCATAGAAGAAATTCTGTCACAGGTCATGTCTTTTTAAAAAGAGATTAATACATCTAAAATGCAAGAAATGAGAAGACATAAGCATTGTAGAAGACCACATCTTTACAGTCACATAAATGACTGAAAGGTACAAAGCATGTGTGATCCTGTTGTTTTTGTCTGTTGATTCTTTTGAAAACTATTTGATTTTACAGAGCAAAGTGCAGGCTCTCCTCCAGCGAGGCGTTTCCAACACATATGATAGGGTCAGAGAACAGTCTCTGATGGGTAGTACTGAGAGCATTTCATTCTACAGTCTTTTGGTTGTTAGTATGAGGCAAGATAATAGTAATAATAATAGTAATAGCTGACATTTAAATAGCACCTGCTATGTGCCTTTACAAATATCTCATTTGATTCTCATAGCAACCCTGGGAAAGAAGTGCTATTATTATCCCAATATTAACATTGGAAACTGAGACAAACAAGTTAAGTGAATTGGCTAGGGTCTCCCAGCTAGGAAGTGTCAGAAGCTGGATTTGAATTCAGATCTTCCTGAATTCCAGCCTGGTGCTCCATCTATTGTGCTATCTCCCTGCCCCAAAACTACAGATCATATGAGGATGGAAAGAAGGAAGCAAGCATTCATTAAGAATTTTCTATGTGCTAGGCTCTATGCTCAGTGCTTTACAAATATTAACTCATTTGATCCTCACAATAATCCAAGGAGGTAAGTGCTATTATTATCCCTGCTTTATAGTTGAGGAATCTGAGACAGACAGAAGTAAAGTGACTTGCCCAGGGTTACACAGCTAGGAAGTATGTGAATTCAGATTTGAACTCACGTCTTCCTGACTCCAGGCCTACCATTCTATCCACTGTACCACTTAGTTGCCTTTAAGAGAGGCATATGTCTCTGAAAAAGAGAGACCTATGTTTGCCAAGGGTGTTTGCCACTGTCATGTAGGATGTCCAGCACAGACTCTAAACAGAAGAGGGATTTCCTACGGAAGCTGAGGTCCACTCGATGTTCTTGGTTACATACAGCATTGACCTGATTGCATCAAGCCCCAGAATGTCATAGAACTTCCTATGTGAGATTCATAATGATCCAAAAAAGTTCTAACAATCCACAGAGGAAAAACCAAATGGATAAAGCATGCCTGTTGTCTAGTCTCTGATACACAGTTGTAAGGATAGCTCACTGAGCTGATACCAGTATAAAATATCTTAGGCCCTGCAGCTGAAAAATGCATTGGGTCTAGAATTAAAGGGAGAAGATAGGCTGATTGCATTTGTGCAATATTTTCACTGATCTCAAGATTTTCCTTGACACACACAAACAATCATTTTGAACACCAGTATTCTTCCAGAGATGCTGTATGGCAACAAATCATGAAATACCACAGTCTCTGAAAGGCCCAAATTGTGAGTAACTCAAAGAAAAATAGAAAAAAGTATGGTGGTCATAAGTAGGTCAAGGCAAGAAGTGGCATAAAAGGTAGTGAGCCCACCATGTAGTGAGAATAAGGGGTAAAATATGGACAGCCTAACTACTGTATTGGTACCTGTATAATGTTAAAAAACCTAGAAGAACCTCCAGCTTGTTAAGTGGATCCATTATGAAGAACTTGTGGACATGAACAAGAGTTGTCGAGATATAACAGTGAGGATTACAGTTGGTTAAAGGGAATTCTTCTTCCTATACATGTAGGTCTGATTTTTAAAAGATGGTAACGAGATACCTCCGGAGTAAATGCAGGTAAAGGCCAGGAATTATCAAGTCCAAAGTTTGTGGCATGGGGTAGGGAGAACAAGCAAATATGAATGAGAACTCCTATATTACTACTCTAGCCATCCTCTGGCTCTGTGTCTATACTCCCTTTCTCCTTGGGCTATGGGGAGTCACCCTCATCAAGGCTCACAGGAGATGTAGGAAATGTTACCCACAAGTGCATGTTATTGTTACAATATCCAAGACTTGCCTTGAAAATTAATAAGTATGTATACTAAGAGCTGGAAGGTGACTTTTACAAACATCTATAATGTGTAAATGAGCACAGGAGAAATCCTAAGCAAGAGCCCTGGTTCCTCATGATACCAGGAAGAATAGTTAAAAGAAATAAGAAAGCAAACTAGCCTTGTGACTTTATCACAGTTTATCAAACTGCTTCACCTCTGTAGGGCTCTTTTTCCTCTCTAAAACAAGGCGATTGGATTAGATGCTTTTGAATATGTAACCTTCCAGTTTCAACATTCTGACTCAGTTAGGAGACAGCCGAACTGGAGACCTGCCTGGGAAAACTCTTGAGGCCACCCTACCATACTCAAAGGCCCTCACCCCCAAAGTGAGGCTCTAAACCCATTCCTCACAGCATACATACATATACCACTTACAGTACAAAGAAGAACTTGAGCACTTGATAATCCCAGGGCCTCAGCTCTGGGCTGCTCTCTGGTTCCCCCTTCAGCTCCTCCTCTGTGTGGATGGCATTATCTAAAATGAAAGTGCAGCAGAACCCATAATCCATGGTGTGCCCAGCTTCCACTCCCATTAAAGCACAGAATCTCCTCAGAAGCTGTTATGGAAAAAACAAGCCTCCCTGGCATAAAGTCCTGTCACTAGGATACAGCCCAAGGAATTCCAACTCCAGTCCTTTCCTTGGGATCCAAGTTTGTTACTCTGGGTTCTTAACTAGAATAAGGACTTTTAAATATGGGTTTTGTTGTAAGGCTTTCAGAAGTATCCAGACAACTCTTAGAAAGCCCCACCCCACCCCACTATGGTTAACCCTACTAAACTATAGGTGGGTGTGGGGACAATTGCAGGTTCTCTATAAGCACTGATACAGATTACTCAAAGAGGCCTGTCACACAGGTTTATCCTACCCTATATAAAAGACTATCTTTCCTCCCTGACACAAAGTCTAAATATTTTTATTTTGTTTTTGCTTCAAATATTCCCCTTCCCTCCTCCATTTTCTAGGCTCATTAGAATTCAGAAATTTACACAAATGAGCTGGGGGGTGGGGAGGGAATAGGTCAAAGGCCTCCACCTAACCCTACCCCAGCCACCCCCCCCTCACCAGATGCCAAAGGTTTCTCAGAGGGGAAAGAGCTCTCCTTGGTACTCAGGCTGCTCATAGATTCCCGACGAATGCAGGGGAAGACATTATCAGGGAGGGACACAGACAATGAATTTGAGGACATCTTTCTCCATTTTATTTCTGGAACGAGGCTATCCTATAAAGAAGGAGAGAGATCCAAGTCTCACCACTGCCATCAAAATAGTTACCACCACCCCCTCCCTAGGAGGCTCCTCTAAGATAGGGAATTGGTCCATGGCCTCCAAATTCTCTCAGAAACCCATTACCCTGGGTATGTTCAGAGCTGTGGGAAGTCATCACCATGGCAATAAGGAGATTCCCGCCCACCATCTTCCTGGCTCACTGTCTCTCACTGTCTCTGACTCAAACCAGCTCTTTTCGAATCTTTAATCTAAAGTGAAAGTGAATGTGAATGAATGCCCTTCCTGCTGTGATCTGAAAACAGATAACAAATGGAAAGTTCCACTGGAATATGTCTGATGCCAGGGTAAAGTGTAAGCTGGAAACAGACCCAATCAATACCTCCAAATGCCCCAAAGTACCAGTTTCATCATCCCTTCAGTCAGAGCAACGCCAAGACCCCCTCATAAGCTATCCCCTTCTCCAGACCTTCCTAATTTGCTCTGCATCAATGGAAAACAATTTCGCTGAAAGCTGCTCATGTCGAACTATGATGTTATCTTAAAAATTAACCAAGCTCTGTGCATTTTTTCTTCCACTGAATCCAAAAAAGCAAGTCGTGTTCTGCCTCAGATCATCCATGTGGAGTATTCCCTAATCCTTGTCAGACTCCTGAGCAGATTTAGATGACTCTAAGGAGAGTCAGCATATTCAACATGAGACCATCTCCTCAAATACTCCATAAGGTGGATGAGAATTAAGAACAATGCTCTTGACTAAATGCTTATTACCTAGAAACTTTTCCTATCTCTCAGTATCATCTGTAAGCCTGTGCTTATGTTGGCTCTCAAGTTCAACACCCACCTCCCATACCTTCTGTTCTCATGTTGTTCTGTGATACAGGATAGCCAGGTCCCTCTTTAACACATCTAAAGGCAGTTTGTATGCTAGCACATGAGCTTCCAAAGATGGCAACCTTCTACTGAAGAAGTCAAATGCCCCTCAGTGCCCTAGGCAACTTTCTAACTTCTAGATTCTAAATTGCAGAGCAGATGCCAGTCTGTGTCAGAGGAGGGAGTTCCTCACCCAGAAGAAATCACAGGTTTGGTAAAGCAAAACCAAAACAGAAAGTAGAGAAGCACCAGAGTCTTTATGATGAACACATGTGGGAACCTGACCTAGACATAGGTTGGTCACTGAACTTTGCTTAAACACTGCTAGCCTTACTAGATTTGTGCATGGGATCTTACCAGAAAGACAGAGAAAATATGGGATTCCATTGGTCCCTCAAGCATGAGGAAGCCTGATCTATCTACAGAGCAAAATGAAATGGAAAAATGCTTCCTTCAATAGCTCCCATGGTTTAAGTATCATCTCTATGCAGATCTTTCCAGATCTGCATATACAGCTCTAGTCTCTCTTCTGAACTTCAGTCCCTCATCACAGTGATCTACTGAAAATTTCTACCAAAGGTCCCAAAGATATCTCAAATTCAACATGTCCAAAATCAAACTCATTATCTTTCCCCACAAACCACTTCCAAACTTCCCTGTTTTTGTTGCGGGTACCACTATCATCACAAACACCCTGGTTTGTAACTTCAAGTCATGTTTGACTCCTGACTCTCACTTATCCCACATATCTTATTAATCACTAATTCTTGACATTTCTATATCCACAACATTGCTTTCTCCTTCTCTCCACTCACGCAGCCCCTATTCTAGTTCAGGCTCTCATGGTCTCTATCCTGGTTTACTACAATAGACTCCTAATTGGTCTTCCTGGTTCAAGGCTCCTCCTACTCCACTGTCCAGCAAAAGTGCAGGTCTGACTATGTCACTCCCTTACTCAACATATTCAGTGTTTCCCTATTACCTCCATGATCAAAATAAAACCCTCAGTTTGGTATTTAAAACCCTTCACAACTTGGCTGCAACCTACCTTTCCAGCCTTATCTACACTTCTTGCCTTCATGCATACTACTGTCTAGCCAAACTGGCCTTCTTACTAGGAAGGAGCTTCCATTCTCCTTCCTAATATACAGCACTATCCCCAGTGCCTAGAATGCACTCCCTCCTCATCGGCACCTCTTAAAATCTCTAGTTTTCTCCAAGGCTTAGCTCAGATTTTATCTTCTACATGAAGCCTTTTCTGACCCTCTCAGATGCTAGAATCCTCTCCCCAAAATTACCTTGTATCTGTTCTATATACACTTACAGATCTAAATGTTGGTTCCTTAGGCTTGATTGTAAGTTCCTTGATACCAGGTATCATTTCACTTGTATCTTTGTGTCCTTAGAATTTAGCATACCGGGTACATAATAGATGCTTAATAAACGTCTATTGATTGATTGATTCTTAGGTATAACATTCTGAGACCCCTTCCATCTTTAACTGACAGGGAAAGTATCCAGGGTCCTATCCCTAATCTATGTGCAGATTTGCTGATTAAGTTTCTTATTGTGGTAGTCTTGTGAAGGATCACCCCTTAATTTAACAGCTTAGGAAACTATCCAGTGAAATAAGAACCACAGGACATCTAGTCAGCCTTCTCAATTTACAGATCATGGCCAGAAAGGTAGTCTTTTGCCAAAAAGAAGTGAGTAAATCACAGAGCAAAGACTAGAACCCTGGTCTTCTGAATTAGTCATGAAAAAATATAAAATAATATATATATTTATAATATAAATTATTATATAATTATAAATATTATATATATATAAATATAATATAAAATCATAGGTAGAGATGGAAGGTACCTTAGAGGTCATCCAGTTCATCCTCCCTCATTTTCCACATGAGGAAATAGAATCTCAGGGTTAGAAAGTTTGTTGCTTAAAAAAAAAATTCTTCCTGATATTGGGCCAAAATCTACCTCTGTATAACTTCTACCCACTGGTTCTAGTCCTACCTTTCTAGATCCAGGCAAAACAAGTGTTATCCTTCACATATCAACTCTTCAAATACTTGAAAAACTATCACGGCCTCTGAAAGTGTTCTGTTCTCCAAACTAACCAAACCTCTTGTGATAGGTTTTTGTTTTATTTCACCACCCTAATTTAGGACCCACTACTTCTTGTTTCACCAACCTATACCTTTTCTTTTATTTCTTTTTTCTTTCTTTTTTTTGGGGGGGAGGGCTAGGAAATGAGGTTAAGTGACTTGCCCAGAGTCACACATTAAATGTCAAGTGTCTGAGGCCAGATTTGAACTCAGGTCCTCCTGACTCCCAGGGCCTTCTAAGTCCTCTGGTGTGGCCTTTTGACCAAGTCCAAATTTTATGAAACAAATCCATTTTATTAAGGGGATTTGTTCTGTGAAGTTTGGATTCAGTCACAGGGCCTCATGTGAGGACCTAGAGAGCCACATGTGCGTCAAGGCCACAGGTTCCCCACCCCTGGACTTTCCCTTAAGGAATGAAAGGAAAAGGACAACTCATACATACTTAGGAAGTTGAAGCTGCTTTTCTCCCAGTAACTCACACTAATGAGTGGGATATACTATCAGTTCAGTTCCAACAGGTGACAATAGAGTGTAAACACGAGCCAAATTAATGACTTTGCTAACAGATGTCCCCACTTGGAGGGCATTGCCCAAAGCAATCTGGAACCTTAACTATATTGTACTTGGTCCCCTGAACAGGTAACCTTGTTGTTCCCTAGAGCCTCCCATTCCTACAGAGTCACTGTGGGTCAACAGCCCTTTGCTCCCACAGGCAGATCTCACCAGAGACTCAGAGTCAGGTTCATCTGGATATTCTCTTACACACAGACTCTTCTTACTGGACGGCTGTGGAATAAAGGAAGTAACCGTTACTGTATCTCCAGAACGAAAGCCCCATGGGACTTCATTTTCAGAGAAATCCTGAGGGTCTAACTCCTGGGGATCCCAGTCCAATGTAGGGGAGCAAGGCTCACAGGCAAAGAGACAGCTAACTATGTTTCTTTATCAGAACCTTCATTCTGTTCCCCTGCTTTTGAGGGGGCAGTGTTCTAGAGTTCTCTTCCTTCTCTCTTTACCCTTCTTTTCCCTCCTGTTTCTTGCTGTTTCCAAAAGCCTAAAATAGAGGTTGGAAGAGGACCTTGATCAGGAGCTCTTCACTTAGAGTGAATGGACCTCAGATCATCTCAGATTACAGGAGGTCCATGAATTTGGATAGGAAAATATGATTGGTATCCTTTTGTCAACCCATATGTTTTATTTTACGTGTTTAAAAACATTATTCTGAGAAGGGGTCCATGGGTTTCACCAAACACTGCCAAAAGGTCCATGACAAACAAAAGGTTAAGGACCCTTGTTGTAAATGAAGGTGAAGTTAGGAAAAAGAAACCATTCTAAGCCTCCTAGATAGGACTAGGCTTCAAAGCAGATGAGCAAACACACACAGGGATGGCAACACGCACACATACACACATAATGCACACCCATGAGCACAGAAACATTCAGATAGGTGTGGTGACTGGATAGCCCACTCTGCCACAGGGGAGGAATGGCCTTCATAGGAAGTGCTAGTCCCTTAAAATTCAGCTCAGGGGTACTCTACTCTAGAATCTACCCTTCTATTTCCTGCCTTCTCCTTTGCCCTCCCCGCCTTCCCCATCTCCTGCTTGCCAGTATTACTACCCCACATATTGAGGTAAAGAGTGAAAGGGCTTTGCTAAGGGAGAGAACATATGAGAAGGGCTCTCTCCGTAGAACTGATGGCTGTAGGCAGGGCCAGCTCCCAGAGAAAACCAGTGCCCAACATTACCTGCAGATGGGTGCAGACTCTCCTCAATACATCATACACGCTGTCCCTTGAGATCAGTGACACGAAAATATACTAGGACCCAAGAGAAATAGCAACAATGAGAAAAAGGGGCTGACAATACCTGCTCTGCCCATGCTGTCCTTCAAACATGGCCTCAAAAAGATATCCCAGCTCTAACGTTGGCAATTGCCTGTGGGATACAGTCGAGGAGTGCTGTGAACCCTCCCACACACATATACCTTAAAAATATAGCTTTCATAAGCCTATCACAATGGCTGCAATTTAACCACTAGAGACATTTAAATCCCTTTGAATTTGGAAGACATTTTAAACTTCCAGAGTCTCCCATGAGAATGCAAACCTTGCTGGGGGCATTATAAATAAGCCTTACTTACATCAGGAAGAGAGGGGCAAGGTTAGAGAACGCGTAGCAATGGGAGATAGGTGCTCACAAGGGAGGTGAAGGTAGCCAAAAAATATTTGTAAGTTTGTTACCCATGGGTGAGCCCTGGCTAGGATCTAATTCTCTTAGGAAACTTGGGCTCTGATTTATACATATTGTCTTCCCCGTTAGAATGTGAGCTCCTTAAGGGCAAGGACTGCTGTATTGCTTTTTCTTTGTATCCCCAAACTTATCACAGTGTCTGACACATAGTAGGCACTTAATTTTTTTTTTTTTAGGGATAGCTAGGTGGTACAGTAGATAGAGTACTGGCCCTGGAGTCAGGAGGACCTGAGTTCAAATCCAACCTCAGACACTTGACACTTACTAGCTGTGTGATCCTGGGCAAGTCACTTAACCTCGATTCCCTTACCAAAAATAACGATAATAATAATAATAATATTATTGCTGTTGCCCAAAGGATTGCAGGAACTAGGTTTATCTGGCCTTAGGGCTAAAAGGCAGGTGTTAATTAGTGTTCTGATTTCTCTATTACCATGCTCCCTTTTACATGATACACCCCTGCCAGGGGCATACAGATTTTTGGCCCACAACTTCATGCCCCTGAGTGGATCATCACCTCTTACTGAACCCACAGCAAAAGCTGTCTCAACCTTGAAGAGAATGTTTGCTTCAAGACTGTTGGTCTGGAGAGGTCACCTCCAGTGCCAAGAGGTCCTAACATATTGGCCCACAGGTCAGCCACACACTGAGCTAGAGGTTCTGTGCCATTGATTTGAGTAGTAAGTGAGAGCTAAGGTCAGCAGCTTGGAAGAGAAAGAAATCTAGCCCAGGAAAACAGTGACTCAAGTTTTACTTCAGTGGTATTAAGAGTGTCTATGTGCAACAAACATGGCAAACTTTGGGAGGGAAGAAAGAGTAAGTGGGAAGGAATGAAGGTGGAAAAGTGACAGGAGGGATAGTAAAAGAATTAATACCATATCAAGTCTCCCAGGTTCCCTCCTGACCAAGAATAGTCTTGTGGTGAGCCCCCTGTCTTATTGGGTCAAGGGGCACAAGTATTCCTAAGCAGCCGTGTTCTGTTGCCATCACATGAATCAATTTGGAATATCACTATTAATAATACAGTAAGTATGATTAGTTCTATAATTCAATGATATGCTGAGTTAAATAGTTTTTGTCGACTAGCCTAGAAATCTAACCACCATTTCCAACATGGTTTCTAGGGGGGAAATGAATTTCAAATTAAAAAGCAACCTACTTATCATAGAATGTAATAAAGCACAACTATTGTTAGGATAATGACCATTTTCAGTAACTCTTTTTTCTTAGGATAAAGAAGTACCTTCTCCATAGTTCAGAATCCCTAGGCACAGCCTGGGGCAACAGGGGTACAGAGTAATTGGCCTCTGTGCCAACAGTAAAGTATAATTTAAGAAACAATTTTAGATCGGACATTACAATTCACTGTGAGAGGAAGGATGGCATGTAGGGTCATACTGGCCTTTGTGGGAAACTTTGGCTGGCCTTGGGATGGTGGTGGCGAGCTATGTAAAAATTGTTGTTTTCAGTCATGTCTGACTCTTTGTGACCCCATTTAGGGTTTTCTTGGCAAAGATACCACAGTGGCTTGCCATTTCCTTTTCCAAATCATTTTGCAGATGAGGAAACTGAGGCAAACAGGTTTAAGTGACTTGTCCAGGCTCACACATCTACTAAGTGTTTGAGACCAGATTTGAAATCAGGAAGATGAGTCTTCCTGACTCCATCCCAGCACTCTATCCACTGTGCCACCTAGCTTCCTGTATTTAACAATGCCCAGTCTTGAAAGGGTAATACCTGCTGACACAGGGAAGAGGGAAGAGATTCCTGATGGGGAGTGTGGAGACTCACTGACCTTCCTGCTTGTGTTCGTTGTAATAGCCAGTCCATTGGGCAAGAGTCTGGCCATCTTGTGCTTTTTTATCATCTGGACGGAGAGCACAGGGATGACTACCTGAAAGGAGAGAAGCAAGTTCCTCTTGGGATCCCTCCTCCCCGACCTTGTCAGAAGGCACCATCCCCTATATCATCAACATCGCCCCACAGATACTCAGCCCCTGATGGCTGTGAACTGGGCAAAAGAAAATAAACTCTGTGAAGTGTGACTCTGCCTTTTATAGCATCTATGCTTTAGCACCCCCTGTCCCTTCCCCTAGTCCTTCTACCTCCCACTACAGATAGAGTCTTGAAGCAGTTTTCATTCATTCCATAACTTTCTTCCAGCTGTCGACTCATATGACCACCCACAAGGATTATTTCTGAGAACAATGTAGCCTACAGAGAAACTGAAAAGTTCTGCTGTTTCACCTTCAAAATAATTATTTCCCAACCCTTTCCCCTTTACAACTAGACATGTACTCTAGCACTTCCAAAGGCACACTCCCTGATTCCCACTCCTGGTCTCCATCCTTGCTGAAGAAAAGCCATGTACATACACAGGATGATCTTGGCTAGTCGAGTGGCCAGGAACTAGTTATTCTGCTTAATCCAAAACATGGTTGGCAATGTTGTGGTAGTTGCCACACATGGAAGATTAGCGAATACAAGAACTAGCCCCAATTTTAATGATTCAAAATCTATTCTGGATCTTGCAGGGCTTTTTTGGAGTCAGACAAATTTAGACCTTGTCTGGTCTCTGGGATGCCCTCTCCTATGAGAGGGACCTGACTAGGGGTCTCTCATCCCAAAGTTTTGGGGGAAGCAGAACACAAGGGAGGATTCAATTCCTTAACATACTTCTCTAGCTGATAGGAGCTGAGATACTCAAAGTGACTGTTTTTTACAGCTATTCACTCATTTGGTTCACAGATTCTTATTGATATCTTCAGCTGTGGAGGAGGTTAAAAAAATCCATAAAATATATCATCTGGTTTCAAAGAGCAGCCTATCTGGACCAAGCAGTCAGCTGTAACACATGAGAGAGATTGCAGAGTTCCCGAAAGGGGGCAGCACCACCATACCTTGATGTCTTTCCCAAAGAGACTGGCATGAAAGCAGAGCCAGTTGGCGGAGATGTATAGACGACCTTGTATGAGGATATCCCTTTGGAGTGCACAGGAACACACTGGAATATAGAAATACAAAGATATATTCCACATGGATGGACCCATAGTCCAAAACAAACAAAAGACTTAAGTCAGATAACATAGTATAAGTCACAGTATGAAAAGAGAGAGGCCCTGGGCCCCTGGCCACTACATGAAATTTATTAAGCCAAGGCTTGAGATGTAACACACACACACACCTACCTCTGGTTCCCTGAACCAGGGAGGTCAGCTGTCTGACTAAACATCCTACAGCTTCTTCTGCCTTCAGTTCTTTTGGACTTCCCTAGGGGACCTCCCAGGAAACAAAGACTATTGGAAAAGACAGATTCTCCTCCTCTATGACACTCCATCCCCCATGCCTGGGATACTCTCCTTTACCTGTATTTATCTCTTAGTAACCCTGATTTCCTTCATGACTAAGGCTGCCATAGGAAGCTTTTTTAAATACCCTCCATCCTCCAGCTGCTACAGCCTTCCTCTCAAGGATTACTTTCTATGTTTTCTGTATATATCTTCTATGTTCCTAATTATTTACATGTTGTCTTCCTCACTAGAATGTAAGCTCCAAGAGCGTAGGGACTATTTTAGTGCCTGGCACTGAGAAAGTACTTAATAAATGCTTGTTGGTTGTTGGTTGATTGAATTGTGATCCTATCACACCCACCTGATGCCACAAAGTCAGAAAGAGGGCCCAGGAGACCCTGCCTCTCTAACCTGTCTTCACCTTCCCCTTCAGCCTCTCCTACTTTGTTCCTATCCTTTCAATCTCTAAGTATTTCTTCACACATACATTTTTGGATACAGCCAATATGTTATAAGGGTTTTGCTTTTATTTTTTCATTTTATTTTCTAGTGGGAAGTGGGAAGGTGGGAAGAATAAGAGACATACTGAGATATTGTCCCAAAAATGGAAGAAAAGAAAGAAAATAGGGTTACTGAAGCCTTTGAAAATTCCCAGAAGGCAAGCCGGAAAGAAACACAAACAGGACAGCTACATGTTGAAGTTTTTAAGGAAATAGGAAAAGTAACCTGTATTATTAAGGAAAAAGAAAAAAAGTAACCTGTATTTAAGTGAGATTCATGTTTTCATGTAAAGTCCTCTTTCTCTATTCCACTTAATATATGGAAATATTTGTTTTAATTTGGTGTTTGTTAAGTTCAGAATATTAAAAAATTTAATCATTTCCTACATAACCCTACTTCTTGCCCTTCTCTGTCTGCAATAATGCCCTTATTCCCCAGAACCCTCCCCCAACTTTTCCATTCCCCCAAAGTAGCCTGCTATCATTCAGAATCCTGGAAACCTTTGTCCCAAGACACTTTTCAAAGCACACTTCAGAAAAATCTCATCATCTCTTCCTTCCTACTACATGGTTGTGCTCTCCATAGTCACCTGCCTCATTCACAATTTTCAATCATCCTCTGTTCCTTCACCTGCAAAGCCTTTTTCTTGGTGTTACCATTCCTTGCTCTCTACCTTTTTCCACTACTTCCAAGCCCCAGCCCTTGGCTCCCTACCCTCACACAGTGGTACTATGCAGGAAAGATCCTTCTTTGAAAAACTGGTAGTGAGGAGGAAACTCAGCAGCTTCCATAATAAGAACAATAACAAAAACTCACATTTATAAAGCCATTTGCAATTTACAAGAAACATTTAAGACCTCAACTCTATGTCCTAGCTCAGAAAAACCCTATTGTATTTTTAGAAAAAATGGGGACCAACAAATGTTCAAGAGCCACCAATACCCATCTACAAGCACCATAAAATCCTAGCACATCTGAGCTAGAATGATTGTTGGAGTAGTTCAAAACCTTCTTGCATATGAGAAACGTAAGGCCCAGAGAATAAAAATGACTGGCCCTTGGTCAGAAGTAAGTGTCAAAACCAGGACTTTTTCCTGACTCCAAATCTTTCCACTGTACATTGCCTCTCAAAGACTACCAAAAAAAAGGTCCCTAATTTGACCATCTCTAAATTGGAATACCCAAGAGATTCTCTGTGATCTAGTCAGCCGCACAGTCTGGATCAAAACTGTATCATTAGCTCACCTTTCAGAACAGTCTCTTCTGGGGGGATGTCCTTGAACAGCTTATGATATTGGTGGTTGTATTTATTTGGTGTCTGCAAATAAACATAGTAAGTTTGAAACACTATAGACTTTGGGTGGCAGAGGCCAGCCAGAATGCCCCAGACCCAAGATCCCCAGGTAGCATACCCTGAAAGGAACTCAGTAACTTACCAGGAAGACAAAGGTAAATTTGAATGGTAGTTTTCTATATTGAGCAGGTCTCTACAAGTTAAAGCTATCACTTGGACTTGCAGTCTTTCATCAAGTGAGGAAGGCCTAATGCTTTTGTGTTGACATAAGAGGTAACACTATCTTCAGTCTCCAGATAACATAGGAGTCTGATGCTTACCTGGTTCCCTGGTGACTGAGCCAATGACAAAATCATTGTCAGTGAAGTTAAGACTTGCAAAACCATTAGAACCCAACCTCCGCTCCCTCAGCAGCTGTCTGGCATCTCAGGCTGGGTCAAGGGGAGGCCCCAGTTCTTGCTTCTCCCATCCCTTGGAATTTGGCTCCTGGAAGGCAGGGACAAGGGTCCCAGACTCACCACTTCGAGGCTGTTTTTCTTTATGTCTTCATCCTTTAGGCCTTCAGGCAGATGCACGCTGCAAGAGAGACATTCCACTCTAAGGATAATAAACCCGTTGACTTCTCTCACAAGTCCATGTTTCCTCAGGCCCCAGTCTGCTCCCCCATTCTGCCTTGGCTATGCTCTAGAGATCCAGGACAGCTTCTCTGAAGATAAAAGTTATTCTCTGGGTATGAGTATGAGTGCAGGGGAGCATGACTAATTTGAATATTCAAGGATTCTTGGGCCATCTTCAGTAAGTTCCTCCCAGCACTGCTAAGTGCATCGCTCTCAGGAAGGCTAAAGGCCTCAAGCCCCACTTTGTCCTCATTGAAGTTCCTGCCAGTCTCAAACATTTCTCCATTTCTTTGTCCATCAGGCAACCTGGGGATAAGCTCAAGGCCTGGGAATGTCAATCATGGGGAATGAGTAGAGTCAAGGGGGAGGGATGATGGGTTGGGAGTAGGCAAGAAACTCACAGTTCAGAAGGGCAAGACTGTGAGGACCCTAGGAGCTCAACCAGGGCCATGAGCCAGCCAGATCAGAAATGTTCTGCTCCCAGATGCTGCTCGGCTCAAAGTGAAAGTCATCTGCCAGAGACAGCCTGAGGCTAGGCTGGAAAAGGAAGCCAGCAGGAGATAGATGCAGGTGTTGAAACCCAGTCCTTTGTACTCCCCAAGAAGTGTGTGGGAAAGAGGAAAGTGCTGAGAAGTCTTTCAGGTAAAGGAGGGAAGGGAAGGGTACTTCAGATGGCCTTTTAGCAAGCCCTTCAAATTTCAAGGCTAGCCTTTGAGGAAGGAGGAAGTAATTCCCAAAATGCTGTTGGGAAATGCTCTTCCAAGTATGTCCTCAGGGAATTTGTGTTTGGGTAGAAGTGCTCACCTCTCCTCCAGGGTCTCCAGTAAGGGGCTCCTTTCCTTTGGAGATTCCTCCAACTTCTCCAGTTGGACCACTGGGATCTTCAAAGCAACTGTTTTTTCATGCATCTGTTTGGAGCTGTAGAAGGCCCAGAAAGCCATGCAGAGACACAAAAAGGCAGACACACAAACCCAGACCATTAGAAGAAGGTGGGTCTGCACTCCTCACAGAGAGTGGAGCCTAAGGCTCAGCCTTCATCAACCCAATCTCAATGTAGGTTCTTACTCTATAGGAAGGGTTAGAGAAGTAGCTTGGGGGTAGTTATGTACCAGCAGCTGCTGCAGAGCTTAGAAATCTTCAAAGGATGACCTACATATTTTGTAAAAGTCATTAAACTGTGCATACTTTATGACCATATCACTTGTGGGGCAGCTAGGTGGTGTGGCACAGTGGATAGAGCACTGGGCTTGGAGTCAGTAAGACCCGAGTTCAAATCTGGCTTCAGACACTTAGCAGTATGACCTAGGCCTGAGACATTTACTAGCGGTATGACTCTGAGCAAATCACTTAACCTCTGTTTGCCTTAATCCACTGGAGAAAATAATGGCAAACTGCTCCAACATATTTGCCAAGAAAACCCCAAATGGGGTCACAGAGAGTGGGACATGACTGAACAATGACAAAAAACAACAACAAATGCCACTACTAAGCCATAACCCAAAGAGAGCAAAGAAGGAGGAAAAGGACCTACATACATAAAAATATTTATAACAGTTTTTCTTGTAGTAGACTCAATTGGAAACTAAAAAAGACCCACCTATGGAGGAATAGCTAAACAAATTATGATATATGAATATAATGGAATTTGTGCTCTAAGGCATGGCAAAATGGATAGTTTCAGAGAAAACTGGGAAAACTTCTGAACTGATGCAGAGTGAAGTAAGTAGAATTAGGAAAACAATTTAGATCATGACAATGACATTCTAGAGAAAAGCAGCTTTGAAAGACTTTCAAACTCGGATCAATCCATTGATAAATCACAAGTCCAGAGGCCCCAGGATGAAATATGCCACCCACCTTATGCCAGAGAGATGATAGACTTAAAATGCAGAATGAGAGGTATACTTTTAATATGACCAACATGGGAATTTGTTTTGCTGAAATATGTGTATGTGCACATATGTGTATTTATGTATGTATATATACATACACACATATATAATTATATATACACATATGTATTTGTATGTATGCTATGAGGGTTTCATTTTCTAATTTTTTTAATAGAAAAAAAGGAAAGAATGCCTGACCTGTTATACGTTCAAGAGAGCCAGAATACACACACGCACACACACACACTCTTGCCTGCTGTCTCATGCTGATGGATGTTTTTAAAAAATAAAAACAAAAATTAAAAATCCTAACCAAAATATGATACATCTATAAAAACCAGCAATCAACTTATGTGATAAAATGCTACCCAAGCATGCCAAATACTGGCTGCTTAACAACTCTCTCCAGAGGTTAACCTGGACTTCCCTTAGGCAGTTTAATGGGTCCTTTACTAGGAAAAGGAAATCTTTCAGCCACCTCCACAAGGAAGAGGAATCCATGATACTAACCAGGTTCAAAAGAAGAAGAGGAGTTCAGAGTTTGTCCTTTCTTAAGCTTGGCCCTGTGGCATAGGTGAGTGTAAAACAACAATCCTCTCTACTTTCAAGGGAAATTGTTATTTTTATGATGTGTGATTTCAATGTTGTAAACCAGTAATAACAGGATTCTGGGTGAAAAATCATTCTTCTGGGAGACACATCTAAAGGAGACACATCTAAGTCATCAAAGACTTAGAGGCAATTAGGTGGCCCAGTGAATAGAGCACTGGTCCTAGGGTCAAGAAGACTTGAGTTCAAATCTGGCTTAGACACTTACTAGCTGGGTACTCTGGGCAACGCACTCAGCTTCAGTTTCCTTAATTGTAAGATGGGAATAATAATAGCACTTAACCTTTCAGAATTGTTGTGAGAATCAAATGAGATAATATTTGTAAAGCACTTAGCAGAGTACTTGGCACATAATAGGTGCTTAATAAATGTTTCAACTTGGAACTCAAAATCTTGTGGAAGTGAATGTGGAAATCTAATTGGAAATAAATAAATTGAAAAAAGAAAAGTGAGGAACTATGGGTGCAGAAGAGTGTATATAATACCAAACTCAATGTGATGGTCAGTTTTGCAGAACTGTTTTCTTTTTCTGGCTTTTTCTTCTTTGTTATAAGGGATGGAACTCTGGTAGAGAGAATAGATGAAACATATCAGCATATGTAGGTGATTTAAAAATATCAATAAAGCATTTTCAATAATGATAACAAAAGCTTGTTTCCTTCCTTCCTTCTATCCTTCTTTTCTTTCCTTCCAAAGAAGACCTGGGGTAAATGAGTAGAGCTGGTAACCTGAGTTGCCATTGTACTCAGAGTATGGCAATTACTTGCTTGACACTATGAGCTGTGACTGAGGAGGGCAGAGGTATGAGGAAAACAGAAACTTAGGCTGCTCCACAGGAATCTTGGACTTGGGTACAAGAAGAAACACAAGAGTCTGCTTCTGGATGTGTGATGTGTAATGCACACAGGTTCTAGGGAAGACGGTGGCCACCCTGAAGGCCATTAGAAAAACCAGGGCCAAGCACTAGCCTAAAACAAAAAATGGAAAAGATGAACCTCCACCGAAAATCAGAGCACACCCAGATATAGTTGAGATGAAGAATAGGAATTGTGGTTAAGTGGTTAAGTCAAATGCTACTGGCAAAACCTGTCTAGACTTAGGTTACTTAGATTAAGAAACCTATACTCTGGAAACTCTCTGCTTCTTAATTTCCTTTTGTTTTCCCATGAGATTCCTTTAAATTTTTTTTTTTTGAAAAGTTCCACTTTAAACCCAAAGAACCATGGAGCCAAATAATCTTCTCTTGCCTGCTGTAGGCTAAGATATCTAGGGAAGAGCACATGGTATCTGAAGTGAGTTCTGGTGGTGGCAGTAGCTGTCCCTGGTTCTTTGGACAAAGCAAGTGGAACAGTGACATAGAGAAGAAGCAAGAGCTGGAGGACAGTTATGACTGCTGGTTCTTTTTAATACAGTGATAGCATACTACTATATACCTCAGTACATTAGAAAGAGCACCTAGTTTAGAGTCAAAGACCCAGGTTAAAAAGCAAGCTCTGTCCATTTGTACAATCTTGGGCACAATTTCTCCAAGTTTCAGGTAAACTGGACTAGATGGCTTCTAAAGTCTCTTTTAGCTCTGTGTATGATTCTACAGTGCCTCAGTTTTCCCCATTAGAGATTGATTTCAGTGTATTGAATCTAAGGATTTAGAGTCCAGCCCCAATCAGGCAGCTAGGTGGTGTAGTGGATATAGTGCTGGGCTTGGAATCAGGAAGACTTCTGAGTTCAAGTCCAGCCTCAGACACTTGCTAGCTATGTGACACTGGGCAAGTAACTTAACTCTGCCTCAGTTTCCCCATCTGTAAAATGAGCTAGAGAAGGAAATGGTAAACTACTCCAGTATCTTCTTTTTGTAAATAGTATTTTATTTTTTCCAATTACATGTAAAGATAGTTTTCTATGTTTATTTTTATAAGATTTTATGTTTCAAATTTTTCTTCCCCCCTCCTTCCCATCCCCCTCCTCAAGATAGCAAGCAATTTGATATAGGTAATACGTGTGCAATTGTGTAAACATATTTCCACATTAGTCATGTTGTGAAAGAAGAAACAGAACAAAAGGGAAAAGCCACAAAAAACAAACATACAAAAAAGAAAATAGTATGCTTCAATCTGCATTCAGACTCCATAGTTCTTTCTCTGGATGTGGATAGCATTTTCCATTATGAGTCTTTTGGAATTGTCTTGGATCACTGTATTACTGAGAAGAGCTAAGTTTATCATAGATGATCATCTCACAATGTTATTGTTACTGTGTACAATGTTCTCCTGGTTCTGCTCACTTCACTCAGCATCAGTTCATGTAAGTCGTTCAGGTTTTTCTGAAGTCTGCTTGCTCATCATTTCTTATAGCACAGTAGTATTCCATTACGTTCATATACCACAACTTGTTCATCCTTTCCCTAATTGATGAGCATCCCCCCAATTTCTAATTCTTTGCCACCACAAAAAGAGCTGCTATAAATTTTTTGTACATGTAGGTCCTTTTCTCTTTTTTATGATCTCTTTGGGATACAGACCTAGTAGTTGCATTGGTAGATCAAAGGTATGCACAGTTTGATTGCCTTTTGTGCATAGTTCCAAATTGCTCTCCAGAATGGATGGACCAATTCAGAATTCCACCACCAATGCATTAGTGTCCCAATTTTCCCACATTTTCTCCAACACTTATCATTTTCCTTTCCTGTCATATTAGCCAATTGGATAGGTGTAAGGTGGTACCCCAGAGTTGTTTTAATTTGCATTTCTCTAATAAATAGTGATTTAGAGCATTTTTTTTCATATGACTATGATTAGCTTTGATTTCTTCATCTGAAAACTGTCTGTTCATGTCCTTTGACCACTTGTCAATTGAGGAATGACTTGTATTCTTATAAATTTGACTCAGTTCTCTATATATTTGAGAAATGGGGTCTTCATCAAAAATACTTGCTGTAAAAATTGTTTCCCATCTTTCTGCTTTCCTTCTAATCTTGGTTGCATTGGTTTTGTTTGTGCAAAAACTTCTTAATTTAATGTAATCCAAAATTTTCATTTTGAATTTTATAATGTTCTCTATCTCTTGTTTGGTCATAAATTCTTCCCTTCTCCATAGATCTGACAGATAAACTATTGCTTGCTTTCCTAATTTGCTTATGGTATCACTTTTTATGTCTAAATCATGTACCCATTTTCACCTTATCTTGGTATATGGTAAGATGTTGGTCTATGTCTAGTTTCTGCCATACTATTTTCCCATTTTCCCAGCAGTTTTTGTCAAGTAGTGAGTTCTTATCTCAGAAGCTAGCATCTTTGGGTTTATCAAACAGTAAATGACTATAGTCATTTACTACTGTGTCTTGTATTCCTAACCTATTCCACTGATCCACCACTCTATTTTTTAGCCAATACCAAATTGTTTTGATGATTGCTGCTTTGT